ACACTATGTTGGGAAGACCACACGATAGACAGAATAGGTCTTAATGGAACTCCAACTTTATGTGTTTTGGATAGACCATAGAGACGGGGACGAATTGGAAATGTTAGTGGGCAATTTCCCACTTTTAACCCACTTGACTAGACGTTTTGGGAACTTACTCTCAGAAGTAATCTATTGGGACTAACTGGATAAAGAATCCACAAGAATGGTCATCATCTTGTTAACATAATCTTGATAATCAAGAATGACAACACCAGAGCCTTTATCAGGTTTCGTAATTACCAAAGACTTATTACGACGAAGTGATTTAATTAGCTTAAATTTTGTCTTTTCATGGCGGTCACACACACACACACACACATCTTGAATAATAAAAAATGTTAAAAAATTAAAATTTCAGACACACTGAATTGTATATTAATATTTTTGTTTTCTTATTTATATTGGGTTCCTCGAATAGTTTCAGCCAGTATGGCCATAATCAGGAGAAAAATTCCTGCTTGTTAGTAGTAGTAAACTTTAGGGGTGAATGACTGTCTCTGAAGAAAGTGAACTTTGCCTGTAGTTTTTATTTGTTTTTTATCGTTAAGTTAGTCCTTGTATTGGTCTTTCAAGTTCTTTTAAGGAGTGTTTGTGCGATCCAGGAGTTTCAGATTTACTCCCTTAGTCATTTTGACTGCTTTATTTGTTGCTGAGAAGGGGATTTGTGTGTTATTTTTTAGTCTTTTGTGAGTATATGTGATGTATGTATGTGTATATATTTATGTGGGTGTGTATGTATGTGGGATACCTGAACATCTCTGCAAGCATGTCTGTCTAGTGTGATTGAGAAATATGAGTGAGGGATTGATTTCTGGGATTATATAGTAATTATATCTGTGTTATTTAATCTGTTAAGTCCGTACGGACAAAGTGATTTGAGGCGCAAAATCCATTTAGCTTCATGTTCTTCTATTATTTTCCTAAGTTTATCTTTTGTGTCTATTTCTATTCTTTCAATAATAGTGAATTTTGAATGGTTATTAAAATCATTTTTTTCTAGTAGAAAATGTTCTTCTACAGGTAATAATCTTTCGTGGGAAGCCAACTTAATCAGATTCCGATAATTATTAATTCTGTAGTGAAATGGCTATTCAAATTTCCTATATGTTATTTCTGGCATGTTTGTGTGCATTCTAATAAGTAAATTATGTTATGATTTCTACAATTAGAGTTGTGGTAGATTTTGAAAGTAGTGTTAGTGACTCAGCTAGTGAACGAATATATATATATATATATATATATATATATATATATATAATCTCATTAAAAGGAAACTTCTGAAAATGAAACTTCTTTCTTTTCATCGTCTGAGTGAGAGAACTATTTCTGCGTGGCTGATGCTAATTTCCAGAAGAGTGAATCCTTGCACTTTCTTGGATAAATGTTTTCCGCTGGTATGAAGTGGAAAGATTATATTGAATCAATTGCTACGTTTACTCCGAGGAAAGTTCACTGTGCCGTGCCAAAAGATATTTCTCGTTAGAATCTGTCTTACACATTTAAATATCTACCATTCATTCATGCATTGAATTTGCTGTCACATCTGGTCTGGTGCTTCTGCTATGTATTTAGAGATTCTAGATAAAATACAAAGAAGAATTTGCAATGTTATTGGTCCTGACCTGTCATTTCGGCTTCAGTCATTTTCCCACTGCTGTAATGTAGCTTCCCTCAGCCTTTTCTCTAAATGTTGTCATGATAATTGTTCTGATGAACTTTCCTGTTTAATTATGACTTTAAGTGCAGTACTAGTTTGGCGGCAAGGTCTCATCATTTTACAACTGAAATGGCTAGGTGTAACCGTAACGTATCTCTTGTGGAATTATTTTCCGGCTTCTTGCTTTTCTGTCAACTTAGATCTTTTATGTTCTGACTCCTTAATATATATATATATATATATATATATATATATATATATATATATATATATATATATTGTGTGTATTTAGGCAGCATCTTTTCATTCATACACGTTTCATTAAATAATATAGACAAGTGTTGTCTATTTATTTTATGTAAACTCTTTTCATAACGTCTGATAAGTTTAATAACATTATAATTGAACGAAGAAAGAAATTCACAATATTGATCCATATTTTTTTAATACAATCTAAGCTTTCGGCTTACTTAAGCCATTATCAAAGATGTCAATTACAACATATTAAGCAATATACGGACAAGACAGTGATGACAGTCTGTGAATGTTTACATAGATGATCTCTAAGCAACGATAAACACGTGCATATAAGACGCTAGAAGCGAAAATCGCACCGCATCTTATGACGTCACACATGACCACGCGAGAGTGAATTGGAGAAGTATGAAGTATGGAAAGCCGTTGGCACAAACCAATGGCCTCCGTCACCAACTACAGACATTTAAGGATATTTGTAGAGATTCCTTAATTGATTTTGTTTAGGTTGGGTTTCAACTGTTTAATGTATAATGCTTCAAGTATTTTTAGTTTTTGTCTATTGTTTTCGAAGTATAATTGTGTTTTCGACAAGTATTTTACGGAATTGTGTGTGCGGGCAGGCATGTTGTTTTAAATGCCTATATATATATATATTAGTTTGAGTCATTAATTATTTTTAATTTATTAATTATTATTATAAGTTGAGTCAGTCGCTCACTTTTGAACAGACTGCTCGGTTTGAACTCTCTTCCTACGGGCGGGAGGACCCCGAAGGAGGCTACGTCGAAGGGCGGAGTCTCCTTCGGGGGGTTAAACCGGCCCTGAACCCGTTTATACGGGTTCAAATGGGCTATTTTTTGGCCGAGCCTAATGGCTCGGAAATGCCCACGTTAAAAAGGCCTTGTGCCACATGACACCCTCGTGGGGGGGGGTGACTGAATATCGTCATTAATTATTTTTGTTTTTTATTTTTGTTTATATAACAATTTTTTTATTTGTAAAAAAATAATCTACAACTTTTACAATGAATTGTCGCTTATCAGGTAGCTCTTGGATACGTTTTGAAGAAAATTTCGCAAGCTTTGAAGTGAAAGACTTAAATCGTAAAAGGTTAAAAGTTACTTAGAACTACAAAATAGTTGAAGTTATGCAGAGTCAAGATTGCCAATAGCCTGAAAGGACATGTCGCATGAAAGGATCATAGGGATGGCAGAATAGGGACAAAGAGAAATGGTAAAGGGTTAAAGGTTACTTAAAGCAACAAAAGGGAGGAAGTTCTGGAGAGCCATAATCACATATAACTTGAACATGCCACATGAAATAAGCGTAAGAATGGTAGAATAGGGACCAAGTGGAATGGTATAGAGTTAAAATTTACTTAGAGCAACGAAAGAAAGGATGTTGTGGGAGCCATGATCACCTATAACCTGAAAGGTCATGTCACATGAAAGAGGCATAGCAATGGCAGAATAGCGACAAAGAGGAATGATAAAAGGTTAAAAGTTACTTAGAGGAAGTTGTGGAGAGCCATGATTGTCTATAACCTGAAAGAACATGTCGCATGAAAGGAACATAGGAATTGCAAATATGAACAAAGAGGAATGTTAATGTGTTAAAAGTTAATTAGAGCAATAAAAGAGAGGAAGTTTTGGAGAGCCATGATTACCAATCTCCGTTCGTTCGTATCTATCTATCTATCTATCTATCTATCTATCTATCTATCTATCTCAGTCTGTTCGCATCTATCTATCTATCTATCTATCTATCTATCTATCTATCTATCTATCTATCTATCTATCTATCTCAGTTTGCTTGTATCTATCTCAGTTTGTCTCGTATCTATCTATCTATCTATCTATCTATCTATCTATCTATCTATCTATCTATCTCAGTCTGTTCGCATCTATCTATCTATCTATCTATCTATCTATCTATCTATCTATCTATCTATCTATCTCAGTTTGTTCATATCTATCTATCTATCTATCTATCTATCTATCTATCTATCTATCTATCTATCTATCTCAGTCTGCTTGTATCTATCTCAGTTTGTCCCGTATCTATCTATCTATATATCTATCTATCTCAGTTTGTTCATATCTATCTATCTATCTATCTATCTATCTATCTATCTATCTATCTATCTATCTATCTGTATTGTATATTTGGGCTCCAAACTTTCTTTTATGCATATGGATAGTTTTCTTTTTCTAGTTTCTTTTTGTTTGCGTTTTAATTATTTTTTTTAGTAAATATCCCATATAGTGATAGAAGAAGATCTGCCATGGATAGATGGAAAGATGTCGATATATATGTATATGTTTGTGTACGTGTTAGTGCCTATTTGAAAGGTATGTTTTATTGCAAATCTTTTATGCTAGGCTGTCAAGGCTATTTAAGCCAGCCTTTCTTATCTATCGATGCATTGCAGCAAAAATGGAACACATTTTTAACATATATTCTGGAGAGAATAAAGTGTTCTAAAACAATTTAATTTTTAAATTTAATGGACCATTTATATAAAAAAAATATTCATGGAGGTTTATTTATGCGTAAAAAATATTTATATGCCAGTGGGGGTCATCAACTGAACTGTAATGAAAGAAGAGAAAGAAAAAAAGACAGAATGAATAAGGATGAAACAAGAAAGAAAGATGCAAGATGAAGGAGAAAAAGGTATGAAAGAGAAATGAAAGAAAGGAAAGGAAAGGAAAAAGAAGGAAAGCATGAAAGAACGAACGAAAAAAGCTGGCATGAAAGAACGAAAGCAAGAAAAAGAGTATGAAACAAAAGAAGGACGCCCGAAAGAAAGAAAGAAAGAAAGAAAGAAAGAAAGAAAGAAAGAAAAAGACAAAATAAATGATAATGAAAAAGAAGGAAAGGTGTAAATGGAAAGAGAAAAGAGAAGAGAAAAGGGTATGAAAGAGAAATTTAAAAAAATGAAAGAAAAGAAAAGGGTTGAAAGAAATAAAGGGACAAGATTAAAAAGCATGAATGAATGAATGAAAGAAAGAAAGAATAAATGGAAGAAAACACGAAGCAATCATAAAAGAAAAAATGAAAGGAAAAAAGAAAGAAAGAAAATAAATATAAGAAGACAGAATAAGTATGCGAAAGTGAGAGAAAAGGCATGAAAGAGAAATGAAAAAAAAAGAGGGAAAAGAAAAAGAAAATGGAGAAAATAAATGGAAAATAAACGCAAGCATGAAAGAATGAAGGAAAGAAAGAAAGAAAGAAAGAAAGAAAGAAAGAAAGAAAGAAAGCGAGAGAGTTGAAGTAGATAAAAAACACGAAAAACGGAATATATAAAAAATAAGAGAGAAGGTAAAACAAAATTAGAGAGGTAGAAAAAAGAAAGACGGAAAAAAGAAAGGAAATTGACAAAGAAAAATCCAAGAGATGAAAGAATAGAAAAATACCAGCAAAGAAGAAAAAAGTGAGATGACAGAAAAAAAACAACAACAAAGAAGCAAAGAATGAAAAAGATAAAGAAAAAAGCACTAGAGAAGAAAGAAATATAAGAAAGAAAGGAAGATAAGAAAGAAAAAAAGAAAGATGGAAGGAAGGAAGGAAGGAATGAAGGAAGGAAGGAAAGAAAAAAGAAAGAAACGAAGAGACAAACTAACAAAAGGGAAAAACAAGAGACAGACAAATGAAAAAAAAAGGAGAAAGTGAAAGAGAGGCAAAAGAAATGTAAGAAAGAAAAAAGCGATATATATATACAGAAAGAGAGAGGGAGAGGGGAGAGGGAAGGGGAGAGATAACCGAAAAGAAAGAGATATATACAGAGAGAGAGAGAGAGGGGGGGGGAGCGGAAAAAGAACTGAAAAGAAAGAAATATATACAGAGACAGAGAGAGAAAGGAGAGGAAAAGTGGAGAGGGGGGGAGAACTGAAAACTAGAGAAATATAAAAGAAAAAGAAAGGAGAAAAGAAAAGCAAGTAAGAAAGAGGAAGTTGAAAGAAAACGTTTTTAAAGAATTTTTATAATTGAATGACAATTTTAAGTAAATTTAGGAAGCAAAGAATGAAAAGAGTAAAGAAAAAGCAATACAAAAGAAAGAAAGAAAGAAAGAAAGAAAGAAAGAAAGCAAGTAAGGAAGAAAGAAAAGGAAATGAGAAATTAAAGAAAGAAATTAAAGGAAGGGGAAAAAGCAAAAGTGAGAAAAAAAAAAAGAAAGACGGAAGGAAGGAAGGAAGGAAGGAAGGATGGAAAGAAATAAAGAAGCAAAGAAAGAAAGAAAGTGGGAAACAAGAGACAGACAAATGAAAGAAGGAAAAAAGAAGAAAGTGAAAAGCGATATATATATAGATAGATAGAGAGAGAGAGCGAGAAAGATGGAGAGAGATAGAGAAAGAGATAGATAGCTAAAGAGAAAGAAAGAGCGAAAAATGAAAAGAAACAAACATATCATTGAAGAAAAAAGAAATGAGAAAAGAGGCTAGAAAAAAAAAAGAGGAAATAGAAAGAAAACGTTTTAAAAAAATTAATTTTAAAAATTGAGTGACAATTTTAAGTAATTTTTTTTTTATCCCAATATTATTTACTGATATGTTTTTATTTTAAAGCATTCATTGGCGTACGAAGCATTTTTCTCCAATTGTTTAAAAATTAACTTTAAAATCAATTCGTAAGGTAAACGCTTTTAGTTCATACGTATTTGCCATACCTTCTTACAATTTAAGGAAGAAAAAATCTTTTTTTTTTTTTTTTTTATTTAAGCGTTTCACCCGAAGCAAGGCGGGAAGCCACTAGGACGCAAGAGGTTACAGAAGATTTGGAGAAAGATCAGATAGGAGTGATAGAAGAAAGGATGAGGAGAAGGATAGTGGATAGATCAAGGCAGATTGGAGATTATAGCTCTCAGGGAAACTGGAATAGGGAAGGCAGTTCCACAGGCGAGAGGTGAAAGATATGAAGCTATTCGAGTAAAAGAGACGGCTACATTTAATAGTTTCAACAGTGAAAGGGTGAGAGCGGGATGCTAGCCTCGTAGGGCGCTTGAACTCATGAAGTCTGGGAACCTCGGAGCAATTGCCATGAAAGTATTTGTAAAAAAGACAGAGAGAGGCGACGGTGCGTCTGTGAGAAAATGACTGTAGATGAGATGCCAGAGCAGGGCCAATTATATTGCATATCCGCCTCTGGATCTTATCAAGAACCCCGAGGCAAACATAAGGGGCTCCAGATCATATATGGCAGCAATACTCTATGCAAGGGCGAATTGTTGATTTGTAGATCTGAAGGATCGATTCCGGGGAGAAAAATTTCCCGGCGCGGCACAGGGAGCCAACTTTCCTTGCGGTGGACGAAGCAATTGACTCAATGTATTTGTTCCATCTCAGAAAAGTTTAATCTTAATGAGATCAATAAACTTTATAGCACATTGTTTTTTAGACAAGAGTTTACAAATCACAGTTTCCACCCGGCTTATGTAAAATGATCATCATTAAATTTAAATATGGTATTTAAACAATTAGCATAGTTTCTTATTATTAAAAGAAGAATTTTTTAAAAATTTTCTTTAAGTTCTATTTTAACGCGGTCTTTTAAGGAAGGTCCCATGACAGCCCGTTATTGAAGATAGATCAGTGACTGCTGAGATATTAAGGGAGACATGTTATACTCGGCGGCGTTTCTGTGAACGAGCGAATGGCATGGCACCTAAATAATATCATAAAACATGGCTGTGTTGTGTCCCTCTGAGGGATATTAAAAGGAAAGCCTTTCATTTTATTAATCCCTTCACATACAACGCGTTTTTTATATGCGTTTTCAATCTTTCTGTGTCATAAAAAATATTAGGAATACACACACACACACACACACAGACACACACACACACACACACACACACACACACACACACATATATATATATATATATATATATATATATGCGCCACTTATCTGATGAAAGTGGTGTTAAAAGGTATTTAACCAACCACAATTCACAAGAACCCTTGAGGAAAATTCTGGTCGAAAACACTGGCATTTTTTATAAATCACATTACTGAAAACGTCTCGCAATGAGAGAAGCCCTGTATATAAAACATCCCGTTCCCAGTAAAATCTCACCTTATTCAACAACGGAAATGGTGTGTTGAAGGTTTTACAAAAATAGAAAAACGCTCACTCGAATTTCAGCCCTGCTCAATTAGCGAAGCCCGGAATAAACTTTCCTACTATTCAAAACCGCACAAAGATACATGAAGAGAAATTGATAACACCTTGAAAATGACTAAAATAGCTGAAAGCGTTTAGGACAATTGAAAATATGGACAATTTTTGCACATCCTGATAATCAAAACAAATGCAAGAACGCTGGAAAAACTAAATCTTAGAATAATCTAATTTTCATTGTCAGATTCAGCGAATGATGTTGAAAAGAAAGGTTGCTGTCCATATACATATATATATATATATATATATATATATATATATATATATATGATACAATAAAGAACAAGTAGGAAAACAGATTTTAGTCTAACAACTATAAAGAGAAAATATGAAAATATATTTATAGCAATATTACCAACTATTAATACACGTCTAAAAACTTCATTACATCACCGTTTTTTCTACAGATCCATTATTTATGAATCTAACTTATCTCTTCTGAATATATAAAAATCAATATATATACAAAATACGAACGAGATATATTTTAATAAAAAATCTAACCTAACTTTACAAAACACTCCCTAACTTTTACACACTTTAGCATCCAGAATATTTTTCTTACACTTATTTGAATATTATCAGTCACTTCATTACAAGTGACACTATCCAATCAGAACATCCTACTGCATCTTACTGACTTTTACACACTTTAGCGTCGAGAATGTTTGCCACACATATTTGAATAATATCTGTTATTTTAATACACGTGATACGCATCCAACCAATGAGAAATAACCAAACAAAATATACCATTAATCGGCGTCTCTTTGCTTTTTATCAATTTTATCATTTCTGTCTTGATCTATGACGAAGCTTAATAAAGTGAAACATATATATATATATATATATATATATATATATACGTTATATATATATATATATATACGTTATATATATATATATATATATACGTTATATATATATATATATATATATATGTGTGTGTGTGTGTGTGTATGTGTGTGTGTTATAAGTTTGGGTAAATGATCAGGACAGAGTTATACATTAATGACAATTGGAAAAAAAAAAACGTTTATGAAAGTATGTTTCGGAAAAATATCTGATAATGATAAATCCAAATGGTCAAAATGCATTATCGGATAATTGTATTTCCAATTTTCATTATATATATATATATATATATATATATATATATATATATATATATATATATGGTTATCCATATACAAGTCTGTTTCACTGTATGACAGCTCTTCAGTGTGGCTAGATATCCGTTTACTTCAAGCCGGGATAGAACCCCTAATCAATCAGCACACGGCAGAGAGAAAGGGAAATTCTAACGTATTGTGTACGGATGTAAACAAACGCCAATAGATACGGTGCTTTAATAGCAGTGACGGCCGCTGTTTTTGAATTACGTTTTTCTCAGTAGTGCCCAATCGAAAGAACGAGAGCGTAATATGGTATATATATATATATATATATATATATATAAGAAGGAAAAAGAGACAATATGAAAATTGTGAGTAGTTTTAGCTGACGCATTTCGTCCAATGTTGACTTTTCCAAGGAAAAAAAATCGAAAGTATCTAAAAAAAAAAAACTACAAAAAAACAAAATATCGTTAGTAGCTAGAAGAATTTAGAAACGCTATTATATATTCATTAGTCAACTGAAAAATTACATCATTTGTTTTTTATGTTTGAAGGGAATTTTTTTCGCATATAGAAATATTTGTATTATTGTGTTGGCGGATTCAACCGTTTTTTTTTATTTCTTTATATATTTGCTGTGTATGTAGGCTTGGGAGAGTAGTGATTCAGTTAGAAAAGGTGAGATTGGGAAAAAACCGGGGCGTATATTAATATTTGGATAATATTCAATGGAGGCACTCTCGAGGATTTTCCTTCTGAGTGAATTATTTTCTTTTTTTATGAATGTAGCATTTTTAAAATCAAAATTGTGGTTGAATGTATTTTTATGTATGACCAGTGCATTTGTCAAATTGTTATTTATGTGGTCTCTATTGTACTCATATATGCCTGTTTTTAAAATTTCTGCATGTTTCTCCCATGTATTGTGAGGAACAGTTTTGGCAATTTATTTTATGGGTAATTCTAGATCTGATTATATCCATAATGGTTTTGGAAGTGTTTGTGATTATTTGAATGTCGTTTAGATGGAATAGATTGTTCTGGATAGTGAACGGTCGTATTATATATCTGTTCTTGTATAATTTATTATTATGGATGATATTGTTATTTTTTTTGCAGTTGTATATTTTGTATTCCTTTCTTCTTGCGTTGTGGATGAAATGATATGGGTATTGTAGGCATTTGAATGTGTTTGCTATGTATATTTCTTTTCTGGGTAAATATTGTGCGCTGCAAATTCTTAATGCTCTTAAATAGAAACCTATAATTATTGCAGATTGGATTTTAGAGGAGTGGTTTGAGTAGAAACTGATCATGTCGTTTTTGTTGGTAGCTTTTCTATAAACGTCAAGATAAAGGTAGTCATTGTTTTTGTGTAACATGATATATAGGAATTGAAGAGTGTAGTTGGTTTCAGTTTCAAAAGTGAAGTCTATTGTAGGTTCAATGTTAAGTTGGTTGACAGGATCCTTTGAATTAGTATTTTGTACATATATTAATAGTGAGTCGTCTATGTATTTGAAATAGGAAGAGTTTGGAGATACAGTGTTTTTGAATGGATCACTTTCTAGAAATTGTAATCATGGATAAACACATTTAAATGAAGTACTTCATTAACCATGACGACATTTATGAAAAAGTAAAGTCCGATGAAATCCTAACAGATGAAACGCGTCACAAAAATCCTTTACAGTTTGTCATATATATATATATATATATATATATATATATATATATATATATATATATATATATATATATGTACCACCACTTTGTTGCGTAAAAACAGCATAGCATGATGAAAAAAGGCCCCAAACTCAATAAAAACAAAGTTTTGTCAGCAAAATGTTTATGTTATTATCAAGAGGAAAGACCAAAGTATTTATTATTATTATTTTTTGACTTTTTCTTACTCCTTTGTATCACGTTGTAAATTTTGGTTATAAATCTTGTTTTTTTAAATTTTGATTAAAAATCTTTTTTTATGTCAACGGCGGATCAAAGATAAAAGTTAGTTTTTTTTTGCAGTTGTTTCCAGTGAAAAACACACTGATTTGGAAATTCTTGCAAATTTCAAATAATTGTCGGATTTTAATAAAACTTTCTGGATATA